TTTATTCAACAATTTTGATTGAGCTTGAGACCGTTTTTAATGAAAAACTATTGTGGAAAAGCAGCAATAATTTGAACAAAATGGTAGAAGTGATAGCTATTGTACTTGTACTGGATTTATAATTATGCAACGGAGTTTATTAAACAAACGAAAGACAAATAGCCAAACTTTGCTAAAATGTCGAGTCGTAATTTATATATTGGTCACTGTATGTATCCCTCGATTTCAATCAGACGCAATCAGGTTAGAAAATAATAACTGTTTATGGAGAAAATTACGATAATACATATACCAATATCACTTAAAACTAGCTCATGGCATGCCATTTTAATGAGCTGTTAAGGCGTCGAACACCGAATGCGGGACAAATACAGGACATTAAAAGAAATACCGAACATTTGGCGTCCCGTATAAAATAAATAAATTTCCAGGACAATGGGTCAAAAAAGAGGACTGACCCGTATAATTGAGAACGGATGGTCACCGTGACTATTGCAAATGTCCCTTGGTTCTTGGCACTTAGTACTGTCGGCCAACGACTATTATTATATTAATGGTATAACAATGTTACAATGCTTACACGAGAGATAGTTTTTAAAATATCTTGGTACAGAATTAACAAATAAAAATTAAAGAAATTCTCAATGAAGTTCCTTCTCAGTGTTGCCAACTCTGAATCAGATACAGTGTGTACCTTGTCATATGTAAGTGTGTACCTTGTTCTAATATAAAATTCACAATTATTTTCATGAAATTTATTTTTATTAAATATTATTAAACAAAGTGCAAGTTTCAAAACCGCAACACCCCCCAAAAACAAAAATTAAAAAAATTAACGGTCATTTTTAGCGACTTGTAAACACTTTGTTTTACTAAAATTGAGCGGGCTACAAAACTGCGTACTCGAAAATTTTCTAGAAATTCTGAGTAAAAAATTTAAAATTTTAATGAAATTTGTTTGAATTTTTGTGAAGTTTGTGCAAAGTGTGAAACTTTGATTTATATGGTATATGTTATAGAATGAACTATATTTTCATAAATAAACGGTTCAACAAATTGGCTCGCATTTATAAAAATTTTCTAGCACGTTCAGTTTTTGAGAAAAAAAAAACTTTTGATGTGTCAAAAAATTGCTAATTTCCAAAAAAAAAAAAATTAAATAGAATTTGGACATAGTTTTTCCGAAGAAAAAACCTCGTATTAATGAAAATCCAACTCGTATGATGGATTCTACCTCATGTGGATGACTTGAGACCTTGTATCAAGCATGTGAAGGTTTGGTTTCCATACCATTTTTGAATAGTGGCTATGTCCTGGTGGAATCGTTTGGCATGTTCTTCTCCGGTATTTTTTTTTTCAAAGTTTTTTTTTTCACCTCTTTCTACTCAATCCATCGACATGAGATAGAATCCATCAGACGAATCGGATTTTCATTAATACGTGTTTTTTTCCTCGGAAAAACTACGTCCGAATTATATTTTTGAATATTTTTTGAAATTTGCCCTTTTTCGACATTTCAACATTTTCTTTTCTCAAAAACTGGGCATGCTAGATAAATTTTTGTAAATTCACTGCAAATCAGCATCAACAATTCTATATATAAGATGAGGTCGGCTATGTTTTTGAGATAAAATACGACCAAATTTTGTTGAACCGTGTACCTAATTAATGAAAAAATCGAGCCCTAACCGCCAAAATAACGAAAGCGACATCTTTTTCAAATTTTTCTTTTTGATGCAGAAATGCATCATGACGCTCTAGGAATATTTCTGCATCAAAAATAAAATTTTGAAAAAATTGTCGCTTACGTTATTTTGGCGGTTAGGGCTCGAAATGTTCATGAAAATAATTGTGAATATTATATTAGAACAAAGTGTACACTTACATTTGACACCAACTGTCCATATGTACATACATAATTTCTTTTCTCCAATCTCTTACAATTGAGAACTTTCCGTGCACTGCAATTTGAATATCGGTATAGCTTGCGTATTTTTCAATACTATTATTCATACTTGGTTATACATATAAACATAGTTTTATTTGCGATTTTATTGCAAACCTTTTTCATTATTCGTTGGTTCGTTGAATTAATTTGCACTTATAAGTATGTAGTATGTATGTATGTATGTATGTACATATATTTGCCGCAATATTCCATATTTGCTCTCATTTAAAAGAGTATGCAAAAATATATGTAGATACATACGTATGTGCATTGCGGAGAATTTTACTTATCGATAGTGATGCCACAGTTTTTACAGTTTGCTCGATGATTTATTTGGATTTATTCATAATCAGTCTCATCATGAGTTTTATTTTCGCCCGAAATAGTTCACTTTCTTTTTTCGCTTATGTGTATTCACTACGGACGGATGAACAAATTTCGGGTGAATTTGTTTTCTGACGAAACTCAGGATAAGGCTCAATCAGTGAAATTGTTATGCTGTACCGTTATTGTATTGTTAAACATATCGAGGGAATATATTCATTACAACCTATCTGGAATTTTGACAAAAACTGCTTTCTGATGTTAGAACCAATCCGGGACTTAACTGCCATGATTGATGTTAATTTTAACTTTGCAATTTAATAACAAATTTTAGTAACATGCGATATACAAGGTCAGTACACTTAGGTCTATTTTTATGCGTTACATGCGTTCCTCAGAAAGCCGCATAAAAAAAAATCCGCATAAAAAAGTTCTTTACTTTCATACAAAAACAGGGGACGCGTTCAAGCATTTTCAAAAACCGCATAAATTCAGATACTCCGTGTAAAAAATTCTAAAAAAACGAATAAAAAGCCAGTGAGGCAATATTAAGTTTAAGGAAAACACAATTCCTTAGTTTTTCGGAAAAATGTTCTTGCCATTTTCTCCCCCGTAAAAGGAATAAGTATGTCATTTTGCTCGTGGCGCTCAAACAATGGCAATGGCCGACAGAGCAAAGCTCTGGAGTGCTAGTCGAGAGATGCAAGGTTCGAGTCCCAGAGAAGGAATTTTGTATTTTTTTTATATTTTTTATTTATTTGAAATTGTAATTTTTTAAATTGTGTTGAAAAAACAAATTTATCTAATTTAGTTTTTATGTTATTTGAGTATTTAGGTGAAATTAATTTTACAATTTATATTTAAATTGAAATAATTGACTTACCTTACTCTAACTACCTCTAACCGGATTCGAACCTGCGATCTCAGAACGAGAAGCTGTAGTCTTTACGCGACGCCACAGCCGACATTTGTCAGGAAAGCAATTAACTTTGTCTTAACAGCACTGACAAAATTCGAAATTATTTAAGGAAATTATTACTTATATTGACTAAATTTACTTCTTCAAATTTATGACGCCCTATTTTTAAATTAAGGGACAATCTTTCGTAATATTAAGGAAAAAACAGTAACTCGAAAATAAGGATACTGTTTTCTTTATTTAAGGAAATGCTTTTTTCTGAGTGTAGGTTGTATCTATTGAATATAAGCCGTCGATATGTACATTTATGTATAATAAACAAGTTTCAAACAGTAAATAAGCTTTTTTTGGGTTTGATTTGTTGCATGTATTTTGTTTCTTTAGCCGATACCCTGTAGGGAAAATCTAGAGCTCAAATCTGATCCGCTTTTAGTGCATTTAGAATCACGCCTTGTCCACGATAAATCTCTTTTGCGTACCTTTTCGACAGTTGTGAACCAGTTGTGAACCAAACTGGCAAACTGACCAAACTCGGCAGAATACTATAACTTTGCTGAGGTTGCGCGCGTAATTGCCGATGGACTGATGAGCTGGCGCACTATTACCAACATCTTTTCATCGAATTCTGAGATTGGGGTGGCAAAACACAAAAAAATCAGTTTGATCAGTTTTTCCATGGCTGCAAACCATTTCAAATATCGGTTTCAGTGGTTCAAACAACTTGAAAAAAAAGTGTACCCTGTCGAAGCCACTATAAACCAATGTTAAATGACAATTTGTTCAGTTGGTATCAAGGCACATTAAACAGGTAGTATCAGTAGAGCAAAAACAACATTTGCGTGTATTTTGTTGTTGCTTCTGGTATCGAAAGTGTCAAAAACTGTTCTGAATTTTTTCTTCTAAATCAAAGCGTGCCATGTGAAATACAAAAAATTATAAAAAATAAAAAATTGAAATTGGAAAAAATAAAAATTGATGCAACTTTCTTTCCTAGTAAATTTGTTTGCTTCTCGAAGCATTGATCCATCCTTTGCAAGGCCCAGTAATCAGCGGTCGTGCTGCCGAGTTGGGCGAACGTTCCAAAAGCTGCTATTCAATCGCTTGTTTTGTATGGAAAAAGGTTTCACAAGCAAATGGATTTTAACAACTTATAATTTTCGTGAGAAAAAATTAAAAATATTTGACATTTTCGAGACCAAATAATTTGAAAATAAATCAAATCAGCTGCTCTACTGATACTACCTGTTCAATGTACCTTGGTTGGTATTAAATACAAAATGTTGACAGTTTTATAATGCAATGCTAAGTTTTCAAAACGCAATTTAATGAAAAACATTTCGCTGAATTTTTCAATCATTTTCTGATGATTTTCGGTTCGGTTCTAGGGATTTGAAATGAAGACGGTCAGGTTAATTGCCGTCGATGGTTCGGTTCAAAACCTGGTTTGGTTCAAAACTGGTTTGGTTCAAAACCCATTAGAGTGTATGAATCAATGAACTTTTCAAACAAGAAAGTGGTTGTTGTTGGTGTAGGACAACTACTGAGTCGTATGGAGCTTCGTTGATCTTTATGGCACTAGAAACCAATAAGATCCAGTTTACTTCCGATTTGTACAATATAGCCTTGGTTTGGTGAGGTTACTTACGCGGCACGACGTATGTATGTATGTATGCAAATATATGTAGGCAGGGGAACGAAGGAAACTGTAAATTCATTATTTTAAATGTTCTTTCCAATAGTTTTATAGTAATTTCAGCGATAAGTGCTACAAATAATTTCAGCTAGTAACATCTGGTAATCTTAGTATGCAGTCTCTCTCGCACACTGCACACGCGCATTATACCTACTCTCTATATTCTCTCGAGAGGTTGGATAGTTTTCTTTTTGGCCGCAGCCACAGCATGGTGGTTTCCAAACTCTGTATGTGGTTGTCGTCGCTTTAAGTCGTTCGTTCTCGTCGTCGTCGTTGTAGTCGTTGTCGTCATTTCAATTGAAGCAAAAGTAAGTGAAATAAAATTTTTTACCCCTTGAAATTGCAAATAAAAATATATAAAGAAAAGTGAAATATCAAGAAAAGCAAGTGATAAATGTTATGTATAATGTATAAGAATCTTAGTAAATTTATTGAAATTCGTGCAATATGTATGTGTATGTATATATGTATGTATGTATGTATGTATGTATGTATGTATTGAAGGAATCGCAAGTGACGCAGATCAACTTTTAACCCACATAACGATTTTGCTTAACTAATGCATTTTGAAGTGATATTACGAGAACAAGGTTTAATTATGCGATGAAAGTAAAGAAATGTGAAAACTATGATATTAAAATTTTGGTAATCTCGCCTTTTTGCCGCAATTTTTTTTTAGTACATATAATACAGAAATGTGGAGTGGTGTGGCTATATACATGTTTAACTCGATCGATAAAAATACTACGCAAAAGGAACTGACGGCCGAGACGGGCAGAGCAGCAACAGCGTGCAAAGCAATAACAAAAACGACGTCGGCCGCAGCGGCAGAGCCCATAATAGTAGGCAACTGAAATAATGAGTATGCGCGTGTGTGTGTGTGTGTGTGGAATTCCTCTTTCGGTTGTTCGCTCGTTCGATATGGACATATGTATGTATGTACACAAATACAATCCACCAAGTTGGGGGGGCAACACACATTTGGCAATCAAGGCGGTGGCGGCGACTGGCAGCCGGCGGTTGACGCTAACTGCGGTGGCTTGGCCTACGCTTCTAGCCGTTGCAGCAATATATTTTTGCTAGCTTTGGCAGGATAGCAAGCTAAGCATATTTGCAGACCGTTCTTCTCAGCCTTTTGGTTTTCTATAGTCCCCAAATAAGGATAAAAATGACGCCAATGGTGTTGCATAGTGAGTATTAAATCAAATTTTCCAAGTACGATCTGGTGTTGATCTTCATGAGAAAATCAAAGAAAGACTATGGAAATATTGACCTGTTCTGAAAAGGCTTTCCGGAGACAAAAATGGAACTTTTGACAGATAGCAAGTTAAAAATATGAATTAGAGCCTCTACATTTACATATGGCAGTGTCAAAATTGGTGGTTCTGCTAATTGAGTTATTTGTTTAAGGCAGTTCTCTCACAGAATCCTAAATGGATTTTACTTTTACTTAATTTCAAAATCTCAGGTTTATTCCGACCGTATTTGCGGTATCCATTTTTTCATAGCATTTCTAATATTATCCGTGATGGCACGTACCATGCCTCGTGTCTGCCTGTGTTCAGCCACACATTCGCAGCCGTCTTAAAACATTTATGTATAAAAATATGCATGTGTATGCATAAATTTGCCGCTATATGCGTGTGCATGTGTGCAAGCGACTCATCGTGCGGGTCGTGTAGATGTCGTTCTTCGCCTTGGCTACCAAGTCGTTATTCGGGTATTTCTTCTTGCATATGGACGCTGTACAAATTAATTGCGCGTTCCCCACCTTGTCGTTGGGGCTAAAGTCACTGCGGTGCGTTGTCGCCTTCGTTCGTTCTGATAAAATTTCACTGTATCCACATCAGTGTTGCCACAGCATTTTTTTATTTTTTACCAAAATCACCAGAAAAAGTTACCAAATGCAACAAAAAAATACCAAACTTTTGATGTGCAGAACTGTACATACATATACATATCGTCGTTTAAAGTACAAAACCGCGTATCGTGATTCTGCAAAACCGCGTTACTGACATTTGCTGCCAAAAATTAGATTAGATTAGATCACACAAGCTCTTGGCTCAATCCTTATCCATTCGTCTTGAAATATACTAGCCAGAAATGCGATTGCTTTATAAAAGGGAGAACCATTTTGAAATATGAGTGTTTTTACTCTCTAGAAAATAATTTGTGTAGCCTCCCATACAGGGTTTTGCATTATCTTGATACTCGGTTTTGCATTTTGTTGATTTTGTACTTGTTGTTGGTTTTGTACTTTAAACGACGGTATCCATATGTCTACATATATATACATATATATATATATATCCGAAGACACCAAGCTTTTGAGGCAATCAGCGCTCTATTCAATTATATTTTTTACGTCTGCGTGAACGCTGAAAGCCACAACGCCAGAAACACTTGGCGGGGGTTTCAAACCTAAGTATGGCCGAATAAACAAACGTAGCGATTGCACGTCGTTTTAAGAACATTATACTGTTTTATGGCTCATAAAGGTTTACGTATTGTGTATTTCCATGGATACAGTTCGTTACAACAGGGGATTATCAGGCGCATAATTTCCCGTAGAGAAGATGTCATTTTGCCACTGAGATCAGCCGACTTGGCACCATTGGTTTTTTATGAGGCTACTCGCATGGCCATATTTATACGAATAAACCTCAAACTTTGGATCACTTTAAAATCAACATATGTCCAGTTATGGCCCATATACATACATACATACATACATGTGTCAACAAGTGGCCGAAAATATCTCAAAAATTCAACGCTTTAAGGCAGTTCTGAAAGCTTTCCACTCACACATTGACAAAGTGAAATCCCTTACTGAATGCCGCACCTTTTTGAACGAGAACATACATATTTACTCGTATGGTTGCCTGTGTACACCGCATAGCAATTGCAAAGCTGACGAACTGACAAGGAAAGGCACGACCACCCAAAACCTTCCGGGAATGGACACGATAGATATAAAAATAGTCACTTTGTAGCTGTTTGTTAGATATCACACCATTCCAGTCACAAAGAGACGCTAAAACAATCTTTCGTTTTATGAAACTTTCAGGATTACCTGGTATTTCTATAAAAGGAAGCGCTTACGGGCCCCTATGTGAAATGAAGGACTGAATCGAAAAAATTACCAAATTGAAAAAATAAATTACTAAATTACCAATTTTGGTTAAAAATTACCAAAGCGGCAACGCTGATCCACATTTATTTCATCGCTTGCATTCGCTCAAACCATACGTCCGCCCATTCATTTACCTTTCGTGTTCGCGAATAGCTCGTTGATTGCCCCCTTGCTTGCCTGGCGTTGCTGTTGTTGGCTACGGTAGTCTGCTTTTGCTACCTCCATTATCACCGCCGCCACTGCTGCTGCTATGCTATTTGTAATACTCGCTCGTTGGCGCTCGCGTTGTTAAGCACGTTATTTTAGTTTTCAGTTTTGACTCACTCTGGATTCGTTACTTTTATTGTTGCTATGTATTTGGCTCCTATACGGCATATACGCACACAGTACTATCTGCCTCGTGTCCACAGTCGTCGTACGCTTTTTCTCTCACTTGCCCGTTACTTGGCTACTGGTCATATTTTTACCCATTTTTCATTCACTAGTTTGACTTTTGGCATGGGATTTTGATTCTGAAATCAAATTGTTTCCTTTTCGCTCAGCTGGTTTGAAAAGTTTTCGCTATTAAAAATTTATTTCATATTTTCCATTTCTAGCTTCTCTAACTTGTTTTGTAGAGTACTTGACCGCCATCGCTCTCCTGTTGCTCTACAATCAATCCCTCATTTGGTTTTTGTGTATTTTCGCTAGTCGCTCACTGCAGTAATTATGCGGCAGCTCATTGAATTTCCTCCGAACTCTCTTGTTCACCTTTTCTGTCAGCTCTTATTGCTCATATATTTACCGCGTTTATTCGTGAATTTGTATCTCATCTGATAAATGCGCATGACTTCTCTAATCAGGGTGTAGTAGAGATTCTATTACATATATGTACATAGCTATTTTTTGTCTTCATTTCGCTTACAACGGTTTAGTTTAATTAATTTTGGCATTTATTTGCTCGTTGATTTAAATTTCGATTCCATGGCGAAGTAGCGAAAAACACGATTAAATATTCTCAAATTCCTATGCGCCGGCCATTGCACTCTCATTCTTTACCTCCATATGTAAGGATATGAGTTAATATGATATCCCACCGCTCTCGAAGGAATAAAATTGAGAATCTCGAATTTATTTTTACAGTTCAAAATACATATTTCGGGAACAATACTGCACAGTGGTATAAGAATGTGCAGACGGGGAGCTTCTAAAATTGACCTAAAACACTGTCGACTTTGGAAATACTGCGTTTAATGAGGCATTGGCCCGTATGAATAAAAACTAAGCAATTGCTTTTTCTTAAAATTTCATACCTTTTACTTCAATTTTGTTTGAATAAATTGAGTAAAAGATCTGGAATTTTAAGAAAAAGCAATTGCATGAATTTTTTGTAGATCGACTTATGGGATTTTTCACCTTGACAATAGCCCCAAGTATTGCAATAATTGTCAATAAGTTTATTTTTTATTGCGCACCGAGACAATTGAATACTAACAAGAGTTTTTTTATACACAGATTTGGTAGACTTTAGACAACCAAATCCCTCAAGGGTCAATTTAGCCTGTGATATTATTGGTTTGAGGATTAAGTATTTTCCTTTTTTTTCAATAGACGTCATCAGCTTATCGCTCTTATGTAGGTATGTACATAAGGGTGTTTCCATAATGTCGGACGTGACATTCGTACGACTTTAGAGTTAAGTAAACGATACGAAAACGAACGTCACTTATTAGGTGCGCTTGGAACACTTGGTGTCGAGAAATTCGATGAAAAGGAGGTCATAACTTACGTGACAAAATCAATGGTTTCATCAGAGTACATACATATACAATAAGTAAGACCGCAAATCCTGTGAGTATTTTTCTAAAACATTCTTTAAATAAAAATAAAGTCAAATTACGGATTATTACAACCAATTCATTTTTAACCAGAAGCAAACTGTTGTTGGTTTTATTTTGAATTAAAATGTGATAACGGACGTGATATATGTATGGGCGAATCCGAGAAATAGTCAACCAAAATCGGCAAAAAATTCATGCAATTCAACTTCTCGCATGGCATAGTAGTTTTAAAGCCAGCAATAAAGACGAATTGTGGCGCCACATCCTAAAACCGTGGTATCGCATTCCGAAAAGTGTTTGTGCAAACTTGGTTAATTCGATGCACCGAATATGCGAAGAGGTAATCAGGCAAGGCGGCGGTTCAATAAGCTATTGAAACAATAATATTTTTGTAAGAATTTTTGGGTCAAAGTTTAATTTATTTAGAAATAATACTTTGTTTCTATTATTTCTTCCAGGCCAAAATTAAAAAATGGGCCACAATTTATTTATGACTTATTCCACGTGCAAAAGAAGTCTAGATTTTAATTAACGTAGACAAAATGTACGAAAATGAAAGAATTCTTCAAACAATAAAAATAAAAGAAAGCTGTACGTTTCTATTATTTTATCCTACACTGTATATAAGAATATGTTGTACTATGCCATTTTTAATAAAATACAACAATACCGCTTTAAAAAAAACCTATTTTTTCAACGCAGTTGTTTTAAAGTTAGTCCAACCTTTAGTTTGCTTTTATAATACATTTTATTAACTTCATTATTTTCTCTTCAAAGTATTTTTGTAGATTGTGCTCTCCATACGTAACAGTTATCGCAAATCGGTTGACTTTGATGGTCATATCAAAATCGCTTCCTTTTTCTCTAACGTCAGAACACAAATTTCGAAGGCAAATACACCGGCATTAATTCAAATTAACATTTCCATTATTGTGTTCTCATAAGTACTGCTTTAAACCTTCCCTTATAGCACAAAACAAAAAAAATTGCTTTTATTTTTTTGTCGGCATAAAAGTTAAAAGAAACGTGCAAACGTACCGTCAGCAACGCTAGGATTTGCCCATATCGAAATCAAATCATATTTGAAAAGGATCATTAAGCGCGATAAGAAGTGGATTTCATGCGACAGAATGTGCGAAAAAAAAGGTGGTCGAATCCTGGAGAACCTTCTCAAACGGTGACAAAGTCCGGCTTCAAGATGTTGCTGAGTGTTTGGTGAGATAGATAAGAAATAGCTGGTAATGAGCTGCCCGAATTATGCCAAATCAGTATCAGAACCAATCAAAAGTAAAAAGGAGTATCTTACGTCTAAATAAAACCAGTCTAGACCATTCTTTAGTGACTCGTCTTAATGCTACGACCGACAGCGCGGACCTTGGCCTGTTCGATTACCTTTGGTCTTGAACAATCCGCTTTAACGGTTTGATTCGTGTTCCTTTTTAAGATATAATTTCACTTTTCGTTCATTTTCTGGGTTTAGTCGGTAGACTTAGAGAGCTGTTGTCTGATAAGTGCGAACTGCCAGTCGAACATGAATAAAAACTAAGCAATCTTACTTCAATTACTTACAATTACAATCTTGCTTTAAGTATTTACCTTCGGCGTTCGCTACAAAACTACATCTGTTTGCTTTTGACTAATAGTTTTTTATTCGCTTGTATTCACATACGTTTTTTAGCCGGCATTTTTCATTCAAAGAGACCTGAGAGGTGTGAAATATTTTTTCGCATTTTTCCTCCCCACTTTATACACTGTCATACTATAAGTACTGCGGCTTTTCGTTTCGTTTTCGAAAAAAGTGACAAACAAGCCAAACCAAATGACGTGTGAAAAGTAATGAGAAAACTATTCGTGCACCTCTCGCAATCTCTCATATGGCTCTCTTTCTTCTTGATCGTCTTGTTTCCTATGGTTTAGAAGTATTTTTTCTTTGGAATACCATTTGTTTTAACATAAGTATGCTTGTGCGTATGTACATAGGTATATACATGCATATGCTTATATTCTTTACATTAATCATTTAGCTGTGAGTTGGTTAGAAATATTTTATTTTTAGCTTTGCTGTCAATAGTTTCGTTGCGTTTGAGCAATATCTCGTTTTGCCAGTCGCTTTGTTAAAAAGTTGAATGTTTGCATTTTTATTTGCTGCTTTTAATGAATTGAGACTTAACTTATTTGTTAGTTGCAATATCATTCGACTTCTTGGGCTTCAATAATGTAACCTACTCTTTAGATGATTCTAGGAAAAGCTTTCTTTTAACAATTTTGCAAGAAATCAATGGTATTTACAGATACTGTTCTTGACATATATAGCGAATTGTTTTTTGTTTATATTCAAATAATGTTTGCAATTCTCAAACGCGTTTGTTGCAGTTGCGAGTTACTGGGATCCTCTCGGCGCGAACATATTAAGACAGTGCGGTGAACAACTCGCTTTGCGGATGACAGTGTATACAGAACCGAAATATTTAGATGAACATGAGGCACACACATAACTCTAAATTGTCTCAAAATAGTAAAGAAAAGTATTGAAATTTAAAAGAAACTTCACTTTAGGATTATGCTTACATCTTACAACCACCAAGTAGGTTAAACCGCAGACTATTCGCAGTTACGAGGTTATGTTTTACAACATCTCCCAGCAAAACTAGGACCAGCACAGAGTGGCACATGTTTAGCATTCAATGGAGACAGTGCCAATGGCACACCGGATCGACCACCACCCACCTTCTGTGAGTTGGAGGATATATCCGATCAAAAGATCAAACAACTATGTAATGACTTACAAAACGGAGAATTACGAACGGGATTTAAATTCTATGCCTCCATAAATACAAGCTCTTGTCAAAACCGGTTGCGATCTACAAATGTGTGTGTGAGGGATTCACTAGGATTTTAGACAAGCTTACCTTATCTAAAGTTTGTATATATTCCTGGAACAATCAGGAGGATAGATAGTAGCAGTCTGCTTAATGATAGGGCGTGTGTCAGCTGCTTAGCAAAGGTATTTTTTTCTGCTCTGAAATCGTTACACCTCCTCCATTGTCTCCCTTTCAGCTCTCTAAGCTACATCTGTGTTTCCTTAATGGTGCTTCAGTTACTCGCAGAAGACAATGTGCTAAAAATAAAACTAAATTGGCCGACATTGCCGACGTGCATAACTAAAACTATCGACGAACAAAAGTATTGGTACAGCGAACTTTTTTCGCTCAGTTTCTTCCATACAAAATATGGTCGATAATTTTTTTTTGTAAGAAAGAAAATAACACCGTCTGCAAAAAAAAAAAAAAATTTCCGAAAATCAACGCGATTTTTTTAGCAACTTCAAACTTGCACATTGTTATGCTAAAATTGAATGGGTTATAAAACTGCATACTCAGAAGCTAGAAAATCTCGTAATTAGTAAATTTTAGCATTCAAATGGGTGACTAGTGAATTATTGTTCCTGCTCCGTACAAATGTGCATGTGTATTTATGTGTGTATATTTATGTATATATATTGACACTTTTTTTTGCGGTAATTGCTTCACAATATGATAGAAATTAGCACACAAAAAAATACGATATTCTCTGCACTCGCCTTTATTTGTTCATATCATGAATAATATTTGCGTAAGTACTTTTCGTATTACGTTCGCTTGATATGTATGTATGTACATCAATATCCATATCTACAAATGTATGTATGTTTATATGTACATACCCTGTAGCAAAAAGGCGGCCAATTTTCCGAAAAGCACCAGTACCTCGCCGGGTAAAATTTGATCGGTTAGAATTGGACATTTGTTCGCATCAAAAATGTTACTTGCGACCAGGCCTCTAGGAACTTAGGTATAGAGACAAAAAGTGAAACTCTCACAGATTTATACATAGATACATACAGAATGGTAATCTCTAGAAATCGCTCAAAGTGGACATTTGAAAACACATTCACATAGGCGGAGCATATAATTTTAAACTTTTATTTTTCGGTTTTTCTCAATCACGAATAAGCATCCGTGAAGTACACAACGAAATCGAATTCAAATTAGAATGTAATTGGATTAGTCTAAAACCAGATAATAAAGAACAATTAACCACAATAGGACATCTTACGGTGAGTTGTGGGAGCGGTCCTTTTGCAATGACACGCCAATGTTAACAATGACAGTTGAAACCATTGGCAAAGGAATTATGAGGGGCTAATACTGGTATTGGACAGTATGGAGTAACCTAGGGTGGGTCCGAATTGCTACAAGGTACATAGGTATTTTAGGTACATAAATTTCCTTCTTATACAGACGACATATATATGTATGTATGTACATTAGTGCGGATCGGTCCCCATACAAAAAAAAAAAGTTTTTCCAGTCCACCCCTAGGATTAAAGGCGATCCCAAAAAAATTTTTTATTTTTTTTTGCCACGCCCCCCCGATGGGCTATTTACTTTTTTTGACACTACGTCGCCATTTTAAGTCCGATTTTAATGAGCCGTACACCGTTGTTCATGGCTTGGAAGCCGCCACAATTCTTACCTTAATCATTTTTTACTCCTAGTACTGACTGTCGGTATCTCGTTTCACATCATACCTAAATTCCAATTTTTTTAGTCTGTCGAAAAGGCCTTTAAATTCTGTGAAACTTTTTCTAAAAAATGATTAAGGTAATAATTGTGGCGGCTTCCAAGCCATGAACAACGGTGTATGGCTCATTAAAATCGGACTTAAAATGGCGACGTAGTGTCAAAAAAAGTAAATAGCCCATCGGGGGGGGCGTGGAAAAAAAAAAAAATTTTTTTTGCGATCGCCTTCAAAATATCTTTAATCCTAGGGGTGGACTGGAAAAACTTTTTTTGTCGATCCACCCTAATGTACATAAGTGATGTCGGCAATTATCCTTGTCTTCCAAGTAAGTGTTGCAGTTGCATTTTGTTAGCATGGCAATTCTAATACATACATATACATATATGTACATATGAGTACCGTTCTAAATACACACATATGTACGTATGTATGTATGTACGTATCTGGCGACATGGTGTCTCAAGTGTACCACTCACGGAATCCCGCTCCATTCATAGGCAAATGCGTGTGTGTTAATTACATTTGTGTGAACGACTTCTATGCTTTCGCATAATGTTGGGCCCAATGCAGTTAATAGTCTAATGGTTTTTACTTTTTATTCGGCCTTGCCTGCGCAGCAATTATGGCGCCGTTGGTGTTGCTGATACAATTTTCACCTTCTTTGTTTGTTTTGAAAAAGCATTTTTATAAGCGCCAATAAATGGTCTCAGAATATGCTGCAGAATATGCTTATGTTTGCAAATGATTTTATGGACAGCTGCTCATGCCATGGTTGCTTGTAATAGATATGTTGTAATACTACAAAGAATGCTTGGCTTGCGATGAAGGTGTTACATTAATTTTATTTTTTTTTATTGCAAATTGTGTAATTAGATATTGAATGCTCGCCAACTCCTCCAGGTGGTGATAATCATTTGCTGATTTGTAGCATATTTAGGAGCGTTAGATAATTTTGCGGAGGACTACGCAGCAAACCATACATGGTAAACAAAACAAAGTATTTTTCGAATTTATCTTCAAAATCGTTATAATTTGGCTCTCAGAGACCCAAAGACTTCTACAATGGCTTAAATTAAAGATCTTGAATTGCACTATAAGCTATTTGTGGTTCGATCAAATCACAATTTTCATTTTAATCAGTT